TTGGTTCGCTTAAGTAAGGAGCCAAAGGATGAAATTATTGAGAAGAAAACAGTAAAACCGAAGAAGGAAACCACAGATGAACAATCAGAGGAGAAATTAAGCGAGACGGAAGCCATAATTAATTTGGAAAAAGGTTTCGAGAGCGAGCAAATTTCAGGCTCTACCGAAGCTTTAGTCCCGTTAACAAAGGAGCTGAAGAGCGAAATTAAGAAGAAAATGGTGAAACCAAAAGAGAAGACTGTTGAGAAAAAACCGGAAGAAGTGGTTAAGAAACTGGAAGAAACGGAAATTACTTTAGATTTGGAGAAAGGTCTCGAGCATGAATTTGTTGACATATTCCTCGTCAATGCCGTTTCAGATTCGACGCAAGCTTTGGTTCGCTTAAGTAAAGAGCCAAAGGATGAAATTATTGAGAAGAAAACAGTAAAACCGAAGAAGGAAACCACAGATGAACAATCAGAGGAGAAATTAAGCGAGACGGAAGCCATAATTAATTTGGAAAAAGGTTTCGAGAGCGAGCAAATTTCAGGCTCTACCGAAGCTTTAGTCCCGTTAACAAAGGAGCTGAAGAGCGAAATTAAGAAGAAAATGGTGAAACCAAAAGAGAAGACTGTTGAGAAAAACCGGAAGAAGTGGTTAAGAAATTGGAAGAAACGGAAATTACTTTAGATTTGGAGAAAGGTCTCGAGCATGAATTTGTTGACATATTCCTCGTCAATGCCGTTTCAGATTCGACGCAAGCTTTGGTTCGCTTAAGTAAAGAGCCAAAGGATGAAATTATTGAGAAGAAAACAGTAAAACCGAAGAAGGAAACCACAGATGAACAATCAGAGGAGAAATTAAGCGAGACGGAAGCCATAATTAATTTGGAAAAAGGTTTCGAGAGCGAGCAAATTTCAGGCTCTACCGAAGCTTTAGTCCCGTTAACAAAGGAGCTGAAGAGCGAAATTAAGAAGAAAATGGTGAAACCAAAAGAGAAGACTGTTGAGAAAAACCGGAAGAAGTGGTTAAGAAACTGGAAGAAACGGAAATTACTTTAGATTTGGAGAAAGGTCTCGAGCATGAATTTGTTGACATATTCCTCGTCAATGCCGTTTCAGATTCGACGCAAGCTTTGGTTCGCTTAAGTAAGGAGCCAAAGGATGAAATTATTGAGAAGAAAACAGTAAAACCGAAGAAGGAAACCACAGATGAACAATCAGAGGAGAAATTAAGCGAGACGGAAGCCATAATTAATTTGGAAAAAGGTTTCGAGAGCGAGCAAATTTCAGGCTCTACCGAAGCTTTAGTCCCGTTAACAAAGGAGCTGAAGAGCGAAATTAAGAAGAAAATGGTGAAACCAAAAGAGAAGACTGTTGAGAAAAACCGGAAGAAGTGGTTAAGAAACTGGAAGAAACGGAAATTACTTTAGATTTGGAGAAAGGTCTCGAGCATGAATTTGTTGACATATTCCTCGTCAATGCCGTTTCAGATTCGACGCAAGCTTTGGTTCGCTTAAGTAAAGAGCCAAAGGATGAAATTATTGAGAAGAAAACAGTAAAACCGAAGAAGGAAACCACAGATGAACAATCAGAGGAGAAATTAAGCGAGACGGAAGCCATAATTAATTTGGAAAAAGGTTTCGAGAGCGAGCAAATTTCAGGCTCTACCGAAGCTTTAGTCCCGTTAACAAAGGAGCTGAAGAGCGAAATTAAGAAGAAAATGGTGAAACCAAAAGAGAAGACTGTTGAGAAAAAACCGGAAGAAGTGGTTAAGAAATTGGAAGAAACGGAAATTACTTTAGATTTGGAGAAAGGTCTCGAGCATGAATTTGTTGACATATTCCTCGTCAATGCCGTTTCAGATTCGACGCAAGCTTTGGTTCGCTTAAGTAAAGAGCCAAAGGATGAAATTATTGAGAAGAAAACAGTAAAACCGAAGAAGGAAACCACAGATGAACAATCAGAGGAGAAATTAAGCGAGACGGAAGCCATAATTAATTTGGAAAAAGGTTTCGAGAGCGAGCAAATTTCAGGCTCTACCGAAGCTTTAGTCCCGTTAACAAAGGAGCTGAAGAGCGAAATTAAGAAGAAAATGGTGAAACCAAAAGAGAAGACTGTTGAGAAAAAACCGGAAGAAGTGGTTAAGAAACTGGAAGAAACGGAAATTACTTTAGATTTGGAGAAAGGTCTCGAGCATGAATTTGTTGACATATTCCTCGTCAATGCCGTTTCAGATTCGACGCAAGCTTTGGTTCGCTTAAGTAAGGAGCCAAAGGATGAAATTATTGAGAAGAAAACAGTAAAACCGAAGAAGGAAACCACAGATGAACAATCAGAGGAGAAATTAAGCGAGACGGAAGCCATAATTAATTTGGAAAAAGGTTTCGAGAGCGAGCAAATTTCAGGCTCTACCGAAGCTTTAGTCCCGTTAACAAAGGAGCTGAAGAGCGAAATTAAGAAGAAAATGGTGAAACCAAAAGAGAAGACTGTTGAGAAAAAACCGGAAGAAGTGGTTAAGAAATTGGAAGAAACGGAAATTACTTTAGATTTGGAGAAAGGTCTCGAGCATGAATTTGTTGACATATTCCTCGTCAATGCCGTTTCAGATTCGACGCAAGCTTTGGTTCGCTTAAGTAAAGAGCCAAAGGATGAAATTATTGAGAAGAAAACAGTAAAACCGAAGAAGGAAACCACAGATGAACAATCAGAGGAGAAATTAAGCGAGACGGAAGCCATAATTAATTTGGAAAAAGGTTTCGAGAGCGAGCAAATTTCAGGCTCTACCGAAGCTTTAGTCCCGTTAACAAAGGAGCTGAAGAGCGAAATTAAGAAGAAAATGGTGAAACCAAAAGAGAAGACTGTTGAGAAAAACCGGAAGAAGTGGTTAAGAAACTGGAAGAAACGGAAATTACTTTAGATTTGGAGAAAGGTCTCGAGCATGAATTTGTTGACATATTCCTCGTCAATGCCGTTTCAGATTCGACGCAAGCTTTGGTTCGCTTAAGTAAGGAGCCAAAGGATGAAATTATTGAGAAGAAAACAGTAAAACCGAAGAAGGAAACCACAGATGAACAATCAGAGGAGAAATTAAGCGAGACGGAAGCCATAATTAATTTGGAAAAAGGTTTCGAGAGCGAGCAAATTTCAGGCTCTACCGAAGCTTTAGTCCCGTTAACAAAGGAGCTGAAGAGCGAAATTAAGAAGAAAATGGTGAAACCAAAAGAGAAGACTGTTGAGAAAAACCGGAAGAAGTGGTTAAGAAACTGGAAGAAACGGAAATTACTTTAGATTTGGAGAAAGGTCTCGAGCATGAATTTGTTGACATATTCCTCGTCAATGCCGTTTCAGATTCGACGCAAGCTTTGGTTCGCTTAAGTAAGGAGCCAAAGGATGAAATTATTGAGAAGAAAACAGTAAAACCGAAGAAGGAAACCACAGATGAACAATCAGAGGAGAAATTAAGCGAGACGGAAGCCATAATTAATTTGGAAAAAGGTTTCGAGAGCGAGCAAATTTCAGGCTCTACCGAAGCTTTAGTCCCGTTAACAAAGGAGCTGAAGAGCGAAATTAAGAAGAAAATGGTGAAACCAAAAGAGAAGACTGTTGAGAAAAAACCGGATGAAGTGGTTAAGAAACTGGAAGAAACGGAAATTACTTCAGATTTGGAGAAAGGTCTCGAGCATGAATTTGTTGACATATTCCTCGTCAATGCCGTTTCAGATTCGACGCAAGCTTTGGTTCGCTTAAGTAAGGAGCCAAAGGATGAAATTATTGAGAAGAAAACAGTAAAACCGAAGAAGGAAACCACAGATGAACAATCAGAGGAGAAATTAAGCGAGACGGAAGCCATAATTAATTTGGAAAAAGGTTTCGAGAGCGAGCAAATTTCAGGCTCTACCGAAGCTTCAGTCCCGTTAACAAAGGAGCTGAAGAGCGAAATTAAGAAGAAAATGGTGAAACCAAAAGAGAAAATTGCTGAGGAAAAATCGGAAGAAACGACCGATAAGCTGAAGGGAAATGAAATTGTGTTGGGTTTAGAAAAATGTCAAGAACATGAATTTGCTGATATATCCATAGTCAGTGTGATTTCAGAGTCGACCAATGCTTCAGTTCTTTTAAAAATGGAACCGCAGAATGAGCCTAAAGATTTAATTGCTGAGGGAAAAGCAGGCGGGAGCTCACCAGGAACTGAGTTTGATATACATCTGCCTGGAGTGAAGGCTTTTCTAACCAAAGAAGCATTAATTTCATTGGGTGTCGAGAAGCCATCGGAAAAAGGCTTTGCCGATACGACATCTACAGCAGCTGATTTTTGTTGTTGTAGCCGTTCTGTTTATCTTCCTGGTTTACAGAAAGCTACGGCAGATATGAAGGAAGGAATGGAAAGACCAACACAGTTGAACATGGTGAAAGGGAAACATTTAGAAGAAATTCCTGTTGAGACGGTTTCTATCAATTTCGAATTCACAAAACAGCGAACTCAAAAAATTGGTGTTGGTACTATTTTTAATTCTGAACGTCCAACGGAACAAATTGAACTTGTTGAAGAAATAATTCGATCAAGTCAATATGCTGAGACTATTAGACTTTTGGCACTTTGTGAAAAATGCTTCGCTTGCATGTCATTTTGTATGGAAGAGAAAAGTACTGAAATTACGAGGACGACAGAACCTGGAATTACGAGACGGACAAAGGAGCGTTCGAAATCTGGTTGGTTCTGTGATACTGTAACTAATTTGTAAATGGTTTGATTTGTAAAAGTTATTGTAGAAATGTTGTATTTATTTAATTTATTTTTCATATTGAACCTCTTCTTTCCTATGATAGTTTTTCGCAAACCATTTAATATTAAATAAAAAATAGTTTTTAAATCTCAATTATCCATTTATAATCTAATAATAGTTTTGAAAACCTCAATTTTATCTATTTATAATCTAATAATAATTTTGAAAATCTCAATTATCTATTTACAATCTAATTGCAGTAATAGCTGACATTGAAGTAGATGCCGGTGAAGAAATGGCGACAACGGATGCAATTGTCGATATGCTGACAAATTTTGAAGAAACCGAACTAGCTGTAAATGAATTTGTATCCGATTTTCTTGATGTTGATGTCAGTTTAGATGCTTTGATGGAGGAAGAATTCATTGAAGTTATTGGTCCTATCATTCATAATCAGGTATATGTCACAATTAATAAATTATTGAGACAGCTTCATCTCAAAGTAATCAGTATCTTATTAATGTTACATTTAACACAAAAAGTCAATTCAATTTTGCGTAACAAACATTTCTCATGACTTTTAAAAAAATGATGAGACATGTTGAAGCATTGTTTTTATTCTTTTACTAAGTTAACTTAACTTACGATTTTCACTTCTATAGATTTAATTTCAATACTGTAAAACATTGTAAAAAATGCAACTGATTATTAAATTGTTGCCTGCAGTATTAGAATTTTCTACCAGTCGCTGAAATGTGAAAACTATTAATTATATGTAACCAATCTGTCATTTTAGTTTGCTTCCTTAGTGGTTCAAATGCCCACCGCAATTACCAGCATTTCGCGACTCATTGAAGAAGTTAAAATGGTTGCCGTAAACGCAGAAGCTGAGATTTTGATATCTGTAGCAAACGAAACTAAAATGCAACGGCTCAACATTAAATTACAAAAAGTTGGGCAGAAACCACGTGAAAATTTTGGTTCGTTATCCATACATTTCTGAATTCTAAACTTTCCACGATTCAATGAAACATGTCGAAATTTTATGCTAAAAATATAAATTTTCGTAGAAAGTACTCTTATTTGCATACTATTTCTTTTCATCCATCTCTTGACTATTTTAGTTAATTGAATTCTAACTGTTCTTTCACAATTAGAATAGTTCTAATTCACCAATTAAAATGCCTTCAATAAGGTTACGAGATGTGCCTTTAACGACGATATCTCATGCAATGCTTACCCACTGATATTATCATAGTAAAATAAGTTTAGTTGTACTTCATATAGAATCTAATCTTTTCTAATACATAAATTCATCCAGCTGTATATATATTTCATTTCTGATGACAGTAAAAAGAAACTAATGAAGTTTTAGTTTCTAAATAATAAAGAATGTAAATTTTCATTACAGATAAACTGAAAATTTTGAAAAAAATAAGACAAAAAAGTATTTGCATAACTTACTGTTCTAAATCCATAACTAATTTTGTCTTTTTTCCTGAAAGTAACTGTTATTAACAGTGATTTCTGGTAATTTTTTCATTAGCTTTGATAATGATATAGAAAATTTAACTTATTGTCTCTTGTTAATTATAAGTAAACAATAACAATAATTGGAGCTAGCTATCATTAATAAATAATTCATTGATATAATCATTGTTCATTGTTCCTTCACAATTAGAATCGTTCTAGTTCAACCTCACCATCATTCCGTATTTTCTTATACCTAACTATAAATAAGAATGTTTTGTTAATGAATGTGAAAAAGCCTTAGTAGATATAATGAATAAATTGCCCACACTGTTTGTTATATAATTTAAGTATGTTTGCAAGCATAAAAAGATCACTGCATATTTTATATTAACTAATTTAAATTCATTTTAGAAACAGAAAAGAAACTAAAAGATACGAGGAAAAAATCACAAGAAATTGATGAGGTCAGTTATTTTCTTCTTCTCTTAATACTTTGTTTTCATTTGCCAAATATTCCATTCATAAAAAAAATATTGATAAAATTTTTATCTTATAGGAAGAGAAGCCTAAAGAAGTGGAAAAGAGAAAGAAGAAAGTACCGAAAGCGCTTATCATTCCAGCAGAAATAAGTTCTAAATATGGTGATAAGAGTACACTTCTGTCCGAAACAACTATGACAACAAGAATTGCGATGAATGAAGTGATGGCAGAAGTTGAAACATCACCAAAGAAATCACTTTCTGCCTCTGTTGCAATGAAGATAGATTCAGCGAAGCGTCATAAATCCATCAATCGTCGATCATCTTCCGCAGAGAAATTCACATTCAAAGAAACTGATGACGGAACAGAATTGAAATTAGATGAAGAAAATGTAAGAAAAACAAAAAAACGAACCAGTTTACCGCCGGTTCCTAAAGTAAACAAAGAGATAGAAATGGAGTTACTTTTTAGACAAAAAGAATATTTGGAAAATATCGATTACATTTTCCCTGTTAATGTTGTAGAAGAATTTGCATTTACTGTACAAGCAAAAACAACGAGTCGAACGAAGAAGATGGAAAAAGCAAGAAAAGATTTGGAGGAAGAGAAACAAAGGAAAAAATCGATGAATGAATTGGAAAAAATTGAAATACAAACAATAAAAGAAAATGAAAATGAAGAACCTTACGAACGTGCTCGAAAGAAGCGTATTGGATTTATTCAAGCGCCTGATAAAGAAATTATCGCATTCCGCGGTGATACAATTAAAATTGAATGTGAATTGGTAAATAATGATGATTTCATATGGCTCATTAATGATAAACCTGCAAGCGAAAATTCGAGATGCATTGAGGAAGTTAATTCATTGATAAGAACGCTAACAATAACAAATATTGCACCAGAAGATGATGAAATGATAATTGTTGCAAAAGTGGACGATATTATTGCTGAAACAATTATTCATGTAGAAGATACACCAGCAGAGATTATCGAACCATTACCACGTCGCAGTTTTGGCAAATGCGGTGAGAATGTAACACTTGGAATATGTGTCACCCATCCAGCACAGTCTATTGTTTGGGAATTCAACGGTGAGAAATTGTCGCATAATGATGAGAATTATGTCATTGCCGGAGAAGGCAATATTTACACATTAACAATCAAGAATGCTCTATATGATAATGCTGGACGCTATTCCATAAAAGTTGATTCGTTAGAAACTTCCACAATGTTAATAATGCAAGGAGCACCTATTATTGAGAAACCGGAATCGGAAAGTGTTAATTTTGAGACTCATGAAAATCTTCTTCTCAATATTCCTTATAAAGCAGTACCAGAACCAATAGTTGAATGCTTCTTTAATAATGAACCATTGGTAGTTGGAACAAAATTGAAGCTTGAAATTATCAATGATATGGTTCAATTCTGTAAACGGAAAGCTAATAAAAATGATATTGGTGAATATACTTTTAAAATCAGCAATGAATTTGGCGAAGCTACCAAAATTTTCACTGTTAATGTTAAAGGTAAAAGTTAGTCATTGTTGTAGAAAACATTTTAAAATTTTGACTTCCAAAACCCTTCATTCTTTTCAAGATTTAAAGAAAGGTTAAATAAACTGTAATCTGAAAATGTGAGACGATACAATTTTTGAGAAATGAAACGATAGTGAAAATGGAAAATTATAAATATGGTTTTTATTTTTATATTTCTTTTTCCATCAATATTCTTTCACAGATATATCTGGCGTTCCTGATAATCCGCGAATTATGGATATTTCTTGTGACACAGTAAGTGTAGAATGGGATGCTCCAAAAGATGATGGTGGTAGCAAAATTATCGGTTATGTCATTCAGAAAAAAGAAATTGGTCGTCGAACATTCCACCATGTTATTCAGGTAAATGTATTTTGATATATGTAAAAGGCGAGAATCGAACTTGTTGTGAACATCTTTATTACTTTGCACTTTAATTTTTGTAACCTATTGAATGAAAAGTGATATTTCCTTCAGCTCTAAAAGTTTGATTTTTTAATAGTTGAACTATTTTATTTTTAGGTGACAGATGACAAGACCAATTGTCTGATTGAAGAGCTTGATGCTGACACCGAATACATTTTTCGTATTGCTGCAATTAACAAGTATGGCACTGGAGAATTCGCCGAATTTCCTATCGTACATACTAATAGAGCACCAGAAGAATTACAAGAAATATCGGAAGAGAAAAATGACTTAGAGGAAACTGTGGAAAAAATGGATGAACACGAATTAATTGAACCGAAAAAGACAAAGGTCAAGAAAGCTGTAAAGAAGGATGAATCAGAAAAAGCTGAATCACTTGAAGGCGAAATGATTAGTGAGGAAATTGCTGCAGGAGATAACATTTCGCCAGCAAAACTAACAGAAGAAGAAAAGAAGGTAGAAATGACAGAGTTCAAAGGAGATGCTGAAATCGTCAAAAATCTCGAACAGAATGAAATATTTGAACTCGAAGTAGGGAAAGTTGAGGAGAAATTGACTGGAGTTATAGGATCTGGAGAAGAAGTCACTGTGGTGGATAAGGAGAAGGACGAAAAGTTGGATACTAGGAAAAAGCCGAAGAAAACAAAAATAACGAAATCAAAGAAGGAAAAGAGGCCTTCTGAGGAAATAAGTCCAGCAACAGAACAGAAATCTGTTGATCGTGCTGAAGATAGCCTTAGTAAGACTTTAGAATCAGTAAGCGAAGTTATCAAAGATCATGCTGAACAGAAGAATGATGATAGGATTTTGTTGGAAGAAGAAATGAAACATGGAGATGAAATAGACAGAAAAATATTAGATAATGAGAAAAGAGCGCATGTGGAAGAAATAGGAAGAAAAACATCAGTTACAGATGAAAAAGAATTTAAGGAGAAACCTGATAAAAAAACAGATGAAAAGAAGTCTATAGATGTGGAATTTGAGACGGAAGAGAATTTTGAAATGAAGAATAAAAAGGACAAAGAAGTTGATATTAGTGACACTTCTGAAACTGTAAAAATTGATAAAAAAGCTGAAGAAATTGCATTAGAAAAAGAGCCAACGGTTGAGAAAAAAGAAGAAATTAAAAAGAAGAAATGTGGTAAGGAAAAAAGCCGAAAAACTACCATCAAAAAATCTGAAGAACCAATGGAAACCGTTGAGGTTACAGATGAAAATTTTGAGGTGCAGCTTGAGCAACAAGAAATTACTGCAAAAGAAATGGTAACATCTGAAAAAATAAAGATTAAAGAGGAAAAAGGCGAAGTTGAAAATGATAGATTCGAGGGGAAGTCAAAAGTTAAGAAAAAGAAGGAGCAAGATGAGAAGACTGCTCAGGTAATTAGTATAAACGTATTCTTCAAAAACACTCCAAACATTGAGATTGTTGACTCAATTTTGAAAAGCAAGAATGCAATTTCTGCTAGTATGAAAACTGTTTCGAAGGCAAAGAAATCAAAAACATTGATAAAGAAGAAACCAGAAGAAATAACCGGAACAGAGCAGGAAAAACCTGAAGCCGAAAAGCTAGAAGCAAAGTTGGAGGCGGATAATAAAGTTGAAAAAGCACAAGAACATGGAAAAGAGAAAGATGAGGAAGATGCAGTCGCAGTCGAAACAGGAAAGTCTGTGGAAGATAAAGAAGTGAAACCGAAAAAGAAGATTGCCGGAAAAAAAGTCTCTAAAAAAGCATCACAGAAGCCTAAGGCTGAAGAAGAAAAAGAAAAGACTGGAGATGATGATACAAAACAGATTACGGATGAGGTTCGAGAGGAGAAGCATGCAGAAGACAAAAACATGAACGGATTCAAAGATGAAGAAGTAAAGGAAGAACAAAGTAATGCTGATATCGATGTTACTATTGATATACCAGCAATTCCGGTAAGTAAAATGCTGGAACCGGAAGACATTGTTGCAACGATACCAGTGTTACAGACAGATGAGATACCAATCACACGACGAATGCATAAACGTCTAGGTGGCTTTGCTGTTCTTCCGGAGCAGGAAATTTTAGCATTAAGGAATGATACGGTTAAAATTGAGTGTGAAGTTCTTAATGAAGATGATAAGATTAATTGGAGAATAAACGGGAAATCAGTTATGGATGATATACGATGTACGGAAGTTGTAGATGGATATCTAAGAATTTTACAAATTGAAAATGTTGTTCCAGAAGATACCGGTACCATCATTACAGCTAATCTTCATGAACATTCTGTAGAGAGTCGTTTGATTATTGAAGATGTACCAGTGGAAATCATTAAAAAATTACCATATAAGATAACCGGTAAATTGGATGATTTGATAAAATTGTCAACAACCGTATCACATATGGCTGAAAATTGCCAGTGGTTTTTTAATAATGAACAATTAATTAAAAATAACGATCATTATGAAGTTAATATTGAAGGTAATATTTGCAATTTGCTGATAAAGAATTTAACTTACGATCAAGCCGGTCGTTATTCCATGAAAATAGATTCTGCAGAAACTTCAACTACTCTAATTGTTGAAGGTGCGCCAGTATTACATGAAATAGAAACAAGTGCAACAATGATCAATCTAGAATCACAGGATAATTTAATACTTACAATACCATTTAAAGCAATACCGGAACCAATTTTGGAATGTTTTCTTAACAATGAAAAAATTCCGACTAGTTCAAAGACGCAACTCGATATTTTCAATGATAAAGTATGCTTCCGCAAACGTAAAGTAGACAAAAGTGATGCTGGCGAGTATACGATCAAAATTAAAAATGATTTTGGTGAAGTATCACAGACATTTTCTGTTAATATAAAAGGTTATTTTTTGCTTTTTTTTTTTTTTAAATCAGAAATTAAATTAATTGTTATTTGATCTGTTTACCTGCAAATCAACAATAACTTTTTCCTTAAAGAATGTATTTTGTTCGTAGATATGATAATGGTAGTTGAATTAGAATCACAGTGATGCAATTATGTTCGTAATACATGAGGAATATTAATTATTAATTGTGAGAATTTATGCTAACTGATACGTTTAGCAGAAAAATAAAAAATAATCTTCAAATTTTTTAAGCTCTCAAAAAAAATTCTTCTAATATTATTTCAAAATTTGTCTTTTAGTACTATTTATGATGATGAGAAACTTCATTTATTTATATTGTTTGTTATTTATTCACCTAAAACTTTCTTTTTTTTAAAATAGCAACTTTGTATTTTATTAAATATCAACTAATTTGTCATTACTAGCCGATATTAAAGTTTTACTCTCTAATATTACTTGCCGATAAAGTTTTATTCTCACATTTCACTGTTGTCATATATTCATTATTAACTTTTCATTCGTCTTTCTACTTTTTTTTTCTTTTTCGAGCTACTGTTATTATTGCATTAAAATAATACAATATCGGATATATGTTGATATTAAACTAAAAAAAAATGTTGAAATCCTATATGAACTTATTCTGAATGTCCTTATATAAGATCGAAAGTCAAATGTTTTTTTTAAGAATACTTCTTTTTATCTATCTCAAACTGATTTTTATCCATTGTTTAATGCTATTGTTTACATTTCAATTAATCTGAATTAAACTTAAATCTGAACTTAATTATTCTGATGATTAATTACTACTTATTTTGTAAAATGATCATATTTTCGTTGTTGCAAAGAAAAATACATTTTTCATTTTACTTCTGCATCATGCAGATAAAGTAATGTTTATAATATAATTATAGATGTACCGGGAGCTCCTGAAAATGGACATATCACCGATATTGGCAGTTGCAGTGCAAAAGTTCATTGGGATGCTCCAAGTGATAACGGTGGTAGTGCGATCACAGGTTATATTGTGGAGAAAAGGGAAGAATCGAGAAGAGCTTATCACCGAATTGCTCAAGTTTGTTGATTCGACTATCATTGTAATCAATTTGGTATCGATTAAAGAGATCAATTTATGATAATGCAGGTAGCAAGTGAGCAAATGGATTATTATATGGATGATCTGAAGATGAATACATCATATATGATCCGAATAGCAGCTATGAATAAATATGGCACTGGTGAATATTTGGAATGTATTTCGTTTCAAACATCTCTGCCATTCGAAGCACCGTCTGTGACACATCCGCCAATCATCAGTAATGTCACCGATCAGGTGAGTAACATTTCCTCTTTAAATTAATTTTTTTTTTCTTGTAGTGTTAAATATCTTTTCATTGTTTTTTTTTTTATCAACAATTCTCCATGCTTTCTTTTTCTACATAAAAGATTATATACTTAATATAAATTATTAATTCACTGTATCAGTTATCAGTAAATTAAACACTGATTGATCGTAATTTATCGGTATTGATTTCATCTCGTAACTTATTGAAAATAATTTTTGTTGTTGACCGTAGAATTTTTTGGAATGTAAACAAGTGGCTCATTTAATATTAAGTATATGTATAGGAAAGCTATTAGAATATAAATAAACATATATTTTAAATGGTCCATTTCGAATTTTACATTATTATCTGCTTCGTTCCAGATCATTGTAGTATGAATGATAAATGTTATAGTCTAGAGTTTCCTCTCCTGTTTGATTAATATGTTCCTTTTTTTTTCAGAGTTGTACATTAAAGTGGCCTAGAGTAACAGAAGATGGTGGTTCATCAATTTATGGATACGATTTGTTCGTACGAAAAGATAAAGGTGGTTGGATGAAAGTTAACGACGAATTGATATTCACTGAACAATTCACTGTTTCTAATATTGAAGCTGGGCCAACATATGAATTTAAAGTTGAAGCAACAAATGAAGCAGGTCTTACATCAAAATCAGATATCATATCAGAACCATTGATAATTTTCAAAGCAGGTGATTTGTTGCTGTTTTTTTTTTTTTTTCCTTTTCTTCTGATAGTTTTATAAAATGCATAGATTTTAGAAATTTCGACGTGCTCATAAATTTCTAAAAATTGAGTTTTTTTTTTTTTTAAATTCATATTTAAATTTGAACATCAGTTTTAGACAATTGAAAAAGTTTTTTATTTTGTTGCAGCAGAATTGCCTGTTTTGAGCTTACCTACAGTAGAAGTTGTAAGCGGAGATGCAGTTAGCGTACAATGGATTGAAGCTCCCCGTGAGGATTGCAACGTGACGTCGTACGTAATTAGGTACAAATCAGAAAAGGCATCAGTTTGGTCAGAGGTAAAAGCACCACTTACTACATTTGATGCTCTCATTTTAATAATTATTAATTTTATTTATTGCAAATTATATAAAAGATACCAATCAAAATTTTGGGAAGTAAAAATGTTATTTCTTGTGAATGTTTTATTGCAGAAAGAAATAGAACATTCACCTGCAGACATAACTGGTTTGAGAGAGGGACTATCCTATCTTTTCAAAGTTGCGCCAAAAAGTGGTCCAACTATTGGTGAATTTTCCGAAGAAACAATACCGATACGTATAGTTGGTAAGTTTGAATTTTTTTCTGAAATCAAATTAAATGGAATATTAAAGTATGATCTTCTGAATATTTTAAGCAATAACTTAGCAAAAACTTCTCACTTATCTTCTATTTCACATATTTTTAGCAACTAAAAAACCGGAAATAACAAAAGGTATCAAAGATATCTCGGTTTCATGCAAACGTGAACTCAAACTGGAATGTCATGCAACTGGTGAACCTGCTCCTCAATATATCTGGTATAAGGAGGATCAAGAAATCATTCCAGCTAACAAGAATATTGAGGTTATTCTGCACTTTATAAATAATTGTCAGATTGTTTAATTATCAAAAATATGATAAAAGGAAAATTTTTGATGCTATTTTTAATGATTTTCAGTTTTTCATTCTTTATGAGAAAATTTTGATCAAAAATCTAAAATTTCAATTGGAAGTTGAATGGAAATTTTACAGATTATTAACGAAGGCTTTATGAGTGTTCTCCTAATTCATCATACATCAACAATGGATGCTGGTTTGTATAAATGCGAGGTTGTTAACGATCTTGGTTCAGTAGATTCAGAGGCTACTGTCACTGTCACAGGTTTTTTTTTTTTTTTTTCCTAATTCTTATTAAAAATTCAAAATTATGCACTTTCTATTCAAAAATTGTTTTCATAAACATCTTTTCCCTTTTTTTTTTTCCTAATTCTTATTAAAAATTCAAAATTATGCACTTTCTATTCAAAAATTGTTTTCATAAACATCTTTTTCCTTTTTTTTTTAAATTGAGTCAACTGATGAAATTTTACAGAGGTACGCGCACATTTTGTTTCTTCATTCCCTGAATATCTGGAAGTTGACGAAGGAGAAAAAATTGGATTTTCATGTGAGCTATCCGATGCTGATGCTTCTGTTATTTGGCTAAAGGATGGCAAACCTTTACGATCAGATGATCGAATAACGATCAGTGAAGATGGCATTGAAAGAAAGCTTACAATTAGAAATTCGATACTTGAAGATAGTGGCAAATATATATGCAGTACTGTTGATAGGAAAGCTCAATCTGAAGCGGAATTAATTGTTAAAGGTAACTAATCCATTTTCTAAATTATTATCACTATTCTTCATTATTTTAATGGTTTGGTCTGATTTTAAAAAATAATATGACTATTTGAAAATAATGACCATAAATTTGCAGAAGAATTGCCACATATCAAGAGAGGTCCACAAGATCAAATTGTTACTGAATTTGGTACTACCATTATGTTGAAATGCGAAACTACTAAGCCAGTGAAAGTTGTAAAATGGTTTAAAAATAGAAAAGAAATTTGGCCACGACAAGAGAAATTCAGCATGAATGTGGAGGAAACCGTTGCAACATTAACGATTATGGGATTTGAGCTTAATGATTGCGCCGAATATACAGCAGCACTTCGTGAGGATGAAGAAAGTGCGCCAGCTAAAGTAGAACTTAAGATAGCACCAATAATCAAACTATCGAAAAATTTACCAAGTAATATGCTCAAATTGCACTGTGGCACTGATTTTGATATCGAATTTATTTATGGAGGATTTCCTGAGGTTGATATCACAGTAACTCTTAACGATAAGCCACTGAATAAAATGAGATCTCGTATGCATACCTATGATAATAAGCTATCATTACGTCTAAGAAATGTAACCCAGGAAGATTCTGGTATATTAAAAGTTGTGGTAAAAAATGAAATTGGAAGTGTAAGCGAAGAGATTCAATTGGATGTGATTAGTGTACCGTCTAAACCGGATCATTTAACAGCTTTCAATATTACAAGCCGTTCGGTGATGCTCAAATGGCAGAAAGCAGAAGATAATGGATCACCAATCATAAATTATATCATTGAAAGAAGAACAGAAAATATCAAACGTTGGCGCAATATTGGAAAATGTGAATCGGAACAATATGAATTTCTGGCTGAAGATCTGTACCCGAATGAAAGTTACTCGTTCCGTATTATTGCCGTGAATGAGGTTGGTGAAGGACCGCCAAGCAATGCAGTTGACGTAGTGACCGTAAGCGAAAGTGTTGATTTAAAGGAAGCAACAAAATTTCTGCCAGCGCCCAATTGTTTAAAAGCAACATTGGTTGAGGATAATCAAATTGTCCTAATCACATGGGAAATAGTTGAGGAAGCTGAAGAATATATTATTGAAAGGTCGAAATTAGAAAATGATTGGAGTCAGATTGGTATAACAGCAGAAACAAAATTTGAAGATTCTTTTGACAAGAATTCGAACTATAAGTACCGTGTTATTGCAAAGAAGGGTGATCAATTGTCCAATCCTAGTGAGGAAACGGAAATGTTGACCGTTCCTGTTCAGAAAGAGAAAGAAGCAAAACAACAAATAAGTGAAAATATTGAAATGCTTAAGGAAATTACGGAGATAACTGAGATGGAACAGCAAACATCGGAAAAATCAGATGGTCAAGTCAAACAGGAAAAAGCAGTTAAAAAAGTTTCGAAGAAGAAGAAGAAAGATGAACAGAAGGAGGAAGTTGGCAATGGTACAGTGATGGTAGTGGAACAAATAGAGGAAATTAAGGATGAGGAAAAATAGAAACCGAAGCCATGACGGAAAGAAAAAGGACAGAAAAGGAAAAGGAAGAAGAGAATAGAGATGGAATGAAGTTGGAAGATGAATTTAAGCTGTCTGAAAAAGTTGTAAAAGAAAATGAGGAAAAAATTGAATCAAGAAAGACTGTTAAGAAGAAAGCTCAGGAAAAGAGAAAGAAGAAAGAAGTGGAAAAGGAGGAAATTCCCAATGATGAAGCTAATATAGCAAAGAATTTTACGGAGGAAAAGGTTAAAGTTGAAAAGAAGCCAGAAAGAGAGTTTGAGTTAGAAAAAGAACAGAAAGATGAAACCTTGAATGAATTGGAAGATATGAAAGTGGAAGAAAGAGATTTAGAAAAGAAATTAAAAGTAAAGGAAGAGAAAAGTGCAGAAGCATTAGAAAATGTAAACATTAAACTTGAAAATGATTCAGAAAAAATGATTGAAAAACAGAAAAGCACTAAAGTAAAAGAAAATGATAAAGCGAAGAGTGCTACTGAAAATGATGGAAAATTAGCAAAGAAAAAGAAGAAAACAATAAGCAAACAAGAAATAAAGGAAAAGGAAACGGTAGAAGAAAAATTAGAGGAATCAATTGGTCAACAAATATTAACCAATGAATTGATCACTGAGTTGAAAGAGGAAGAAGGAGAAGAAATGAAGAAGGAACAATTGATAGTAAAACCTATCAGTAATTCGATTACGATTGATTATGGAATGAAAAATTTTGAATTAATCGTTGATATTAGTGGTAATTACGAGGAATGTTTTTGGACTAAAGATGAAAAAGTAATTGATAAAAATTTGATGAAAATGACAGCAAATACCTCAATTTTGCAACTTAAAAATGTTAATGAATTGACAGCAGGAATGTATCATTGCATTGTAACGAATAAAACGGAGAAAGCAACCGGTGAAATTCATGTTACTGTTACAGGTTATTCATTTGTTTATTAGGAATTTAATATTAATTACAGAATATGTGAATTTAATATTTGGGAATAGAATTAGATATAAAATTGGGAGAGTTAAATAAGCATTTAAAATAAATAATATAAATAAATAAAATATTTATTAATAAAATATCAAAATAATATAAATAAGTATAACAATATAATATTTTAAGTTGTACACTTTTGGAAGAAATTTTCTAAAAAGGCTATACAAAGTAATAATATACTTCAGAGAAGCCAAAAATTGAATTTGATGAAGCAGTCGTTGGTGCAAAAGTTGGTGAAATGTTAAAAATTCATGCAAATGTTACGGGATTACCTATGCCAACTTGTAAATGGCTAAAAGATGGTGTAGAATTAAAGCAAAATGAAAATACCATCATTGCGTTTAAAGATGGTACTGCTATTGTAACGATTAAAAAAGCTAATGTTGATCATTCGGGTCTTTACAAATTAATTGTGGAGAATATATGCGGAAAACATGAAGATCAAATTAAAGTGCTAATTAAAGGTTGGTCTTATTTTGTTTTGTTGATTTATTTTAAGCTTAAAAGTATCATGATTGTTCGGGAATTCAATTGTTTAGATTATTTCATTATCAGATAAATGCCAAATTGAATATTTACAGCAGCAATTATTAATCTATCTTATTATTTAGTGAAATAATTAAATCTTAATGTTCAGTTACTTTTTTTTTAGGTTAGGTATCAAAATTATCTCGGAAAAATAATGTTATTAATAGAAGTGCGATTGAAAGATAACTGTGAAATTATGAAGTTAATTACAAAAATTGTATTTAAAAATAGAACTATTAATATATCTTATTTACTAAAATAATTAAATCTTAATTTTTGGATATCGATTTTTAATGTTTCCCTTTTTTTTTTCTTTTTTGAAAAATATGTGGATAAAATCTTTGAATAATATCTTTTATCTTCATTTTTAGGAGTTCCATCTGTACCAGTTGGTCCATTAGAAGTATCTGACGTAACAGACGTTTCGTGTAAACTTGCGTGGAATCCACCCGAGCATAATGGTAATAGTAATTTACTCGGCTATTGCATCGAGAAACGTGATGCTAAAAAATCGAGCTGGGCATTTGTCGCACGTACTACAACAACAACTGCAACAATAACCGGTTTAGCTGATACTGCAAAATATTTTTTCCGTGTTGCAGCTGAAAATGCATTTGGTACCGGACAAGCTTTAGAAAATAAAGATGCTGTACAACCAATAAAAATTACAGGTAAATAATACTAATTCATATTTCATTATTAGAGTAATTATTTTTTTTATTTGAATTTTTCTACAGTTTATGAGAAGATACAATGTACGTGAAGATACGTGTTTTCACTACGTAATTAAAGTTGAAGAAAATTTATATAGAATTAGATGAAAGATAAATGTAACTAAATTTTAACAATATTAAAACAAAGTACTTTTCTAATTTTGACAAATTGGACAATAAGTTAGAAAAAAAAAATCATCTCTTGTCATTTTTTGAGATGATTTGCAATCTTTTTTTTTTAAAAAAAAAAAAAAGAAAAAATCGTTTTTGATTACAGCAATTGAAAAGCCGAAGATCAAGAAAGCACCAGAAAAAGTAACTGGCAGAATTGGTGATAAACTTGTTCTCAATGTAGAATTTACTGCTAAACCAATACCCAAAGTTTATTGGTATAGAAATGGTGAAGAAATAATTGATAATGTGGATAATACGATAACAGAAATGGATAAGAAATCAATGCTTACAATTCAGAAACTTATTGAAGATGACGAAGGAGATTATCAGGTATAAGAAGAAGATTGATTAAACTTATATTAAAATATATGAAAATTGATTAAGCTTCCGCTATAAGCTTTTTTTGCAAAAAAAAAAAAAAAACGAAGGTTAATTGCTAGAATTCTTTAAATTTAAATTTTTTTTTTTTAAAAAAAGGCAAAAAACCTTTACTGTTTTTTTTTTTTCATTACTTCATTTACTATTTATGAAATTCTTTTAGGTTGTTGTTGAAAATGAAGGCGGTAAAGTGCAACATAAATTCAGCTTAGAAGTAAAATCGGAACCAATGATAATTGATGCTGACAAGTATAAAGAGCCGCAAGTTTTCGATAAAGGTGAAAACGTCAAATTACAGCTTGCTTTCACTGGTTAGTTTCACTTTTGAATCTTTTTTTTTTTTTTGTAGCAATTTTCCAGTTCAACAATGAAAAAAAAAAAAAGAAAATTGAAATTAATACTAAATTTGTGATTGAATTTCTCATATTCCATTTATTTTTAGATAGATTATTAATAAATATAATTTTCAATTATTATAAAAATCTTTGAGATAAATTAAAGTTCAATCCCATTTAGTAAAATTCGATTTACACCAAACTTTTTTGGAATTCTGTTGTACAATCTTAAGCAGTATCTAATAATAAATTTCGTATTATAGTAAAGCTGTTCGCAACACAATTTGAAATAGCATTTTAAAACAGTTTGCTACGATAATAATTCCTTATCTTTTTTAAATTTCAAATTTACATAAATTTGTATTACTACAATCACATATTTGCATAACAAATAGGAATTTTAATATTAAAAAAAAGTTTTTATTGAATTAATTAGTGTCACTACAAAAAGAAAATTAGAGGTTAAAAAGGAGGTGAAATAATTTATTTCTATTTTTAAATGCAGTAAAAATGAATGTAGAAAAATGGGAATGAAAAATTAATCAATTTCATACATAAATTTAAACATAGATCATCATAAACCTTAATTATCAAATGATATTTTAAAGCTTTCAGCTTTTCAAAACTTTTCAAAGCAACAGCTTTCTTTATTAATTCATCAGTGGTTCTAACACTAATTTAACATTTCAGATTGATTTAACTTAAATCTGTATGATTTATGGAATTTTTCAGTGAAATTTGTTGTAACATTGCTATAGTTTCACATAGATATGTTAGAATAGAATTAATATACTGTTGCATTAAAAAGTTTTATTTGAATAACGAACAAAAATTTGTACAAATTTGTAAAAAACTAAAATTACGAAGTCATCTATCATTTTAAAATCGTAAAATTATATGTAATTCAAAATGCCAATGCTAGTCTTTGTAGTAATAATAGCATTAGCAAATTGCTTTTTGTCTTGAAATTGAGTGAGGGATTTCTTTTTTGCTAAATGTTCCGATTTTTTGACAAATTATAGGCTTGAGATCTGTTCAGTAATTTCTAGAAAGATTTTCTACACACAGTTCATCAAGCGAACTTTCGAGAAAACCAAAAAAAAAAAAAAAAAATTTATTGAAAAAAATTGGAAAATGTTGAAAGTACGTTTACGAAGAAATTTACTAAAATTTAAATCAATTAATCTACATTTTACTGACAGATAGCGACTTCAATGGCACTAAGATTACCTTTAACAATTGTAACATACATATATATTTATGTACACTTGAGATGACAAGAAAGACAGTAAGCAAAGAAACTGAAGTGAATTAATTTTTTAAGCTATGATGGAAATTTTTTCATCAATGAAAGAATGAGATAGTTTAGCATAGCAAATTTGAAAAAAGTTATGAATCTTCATTACTCGTTTCTTTGTTTAATATTGATTGTATTCGGCGCTCTTGTCGTAAATGATCCATTCTTTGTTGCTCCGCTTGTTGCTCATCTTGCGCCACTTTAATGAAATTATCCACGATAATTGTAATTGGTAAGGCTAGCACTAATACACCACACATTATTGCTGCTGATGCGATAATTTTACCCACTGTAAGCAAAAATATATGAATAATTTTGATTAGATTTTTTTTTTTCTTAATTTAAAATAAGTTAATTACTTGTTATTTGTTAATTACTAGAATAACAACTTACTTGTTGTTGCAGGGACAGCATCTCCATAGCCAACTGTTGTCATCGTTACTATACCTAAAGTATTACAATTAGAATATATTTTAGCTTTAATGACATCCTTCTTTTCTTTTTTTTTCTTAACTTTAATTTTAGTTTATGTTAAATTATGCGAATGATAAAATTAGAATTTAATAAGCATTGACTATTAATTTATGAATAAGTTAAATGATAATGAAAAGTAACTTACACCACCAATAAGCAGCAGGTATACTAGTAAATGGTGTTCCATCTTCATCTTTTTCTAAAAAATAGATCATCGTGGAAAAGAAAACGACACCAGTGAGCAATACGATTGTCATCATTTGTAATTGTTTTTGACTCCTTTGTAATGTCATCCCAAAAGTTTGTAAACCGGAACTAAATCTGCCAAGTTTAATAATACGTATCACTCGTAGAACCCGTAATATACGAACCACTAAGAAAGCCCAACGTAAATCACGCAATTTTTTATCGTCTACACCACAGAGTGTTAATAATAGTTCGAGATAGAACGGAACAATTGCCATTAAATCTACCAAATTTAATGGTTTTAATGTAAAACGAAATTTTCTTGGTGCAGCAAATAGTCGTAGACAATATTCGACAGTGAAAAATGCTATGCAAATACGTTCTGTTAGCACAAAAATTTGATGCTCAACCCGCATTTCTTCAATTTTTTCGATTACAGTTATAGTACCATTTGGAAGCAGAATTGTTTCATTATGAGCAGGCAAATATTGGGTCACCTGAAATAGTCATTTTCAAATTTTTTAATCTTAAATCTCAATTTTAACACATGTAGTTCCGAGTACCACAAGCTATTAGCAAAAATAAAACAGATAGATTTCTATGCGTACTTTAAAAAAAAAAAGCGATAAAAGAAAGAAAATAATATAATTTTGATCATTTTAAGACGAAATCAAAAATCCATAATGTGGGCATAAATAGTCAGATAAACTTAGTGATTAATTATTATCAAATGATAAATCATAGAATGATAATGATAACAATTACTGTTAGTTGATTATTCGAGATTCTTTTTTGTATCATACTTACTAGTTAAAATCTATTCAATCTTCTTTTATGTTTACTTTTCACATTTTCCATGATATTATTTAAATAGAAAAACAATCAGAGAAAATTTAATTCTAATATACTTGCTATTTCTATCTATTTTTCTTTTTCTTTCTTTGCAAATAAAAAATGTTTAAATATGTCAAATTTGAGATGTAAAAAACAAACCTGAAAATCCGGAATAGTTCCAAAACTTAGACCCATAACAGATATAGCAACAAATAAAGTTGAGGATAGTTCAAATGCTTTAGCTTGAATTGATGAACCAGGTCTTTCAAGAAAGGTCCACATTTTCCTTCTTACTCTTCCGAACATTAAATTATCAAAAGTTTTATTATCAACCTGAAAAGAAAAAAAAAACCATTTTATGACTTTTGTCATTGTTTTGTCATTTTGAAAAAAATCATTGAAAATATACTTTTTCTTCCTCCTTTTCCTCGAATCGATCCCGAGCTACAATATCGGCACAACATGAGCCAATAGATCGATAGGAAATTCCCCAAAACTCTAATTCCGCTAAGAAGGCAGCAGGACAAATTTCCGGTGGCCTATGCACAACACCGGTTGCATAATATTGAAATACCGCATCAAATGCATACGGTGATCGTTGAAAATAATACGCATCTTCACGTGCTATATATGCATCCGCCACCTGAAATGAATTTGCATAGGTAATTCCTTCCTTTAGAATATGTACAAACTATAAATTCATTTCTCATAAAATATAACTTCATCAGTTTTAGCATAATGAAAGTATAATTATTTTACTACTTTTTACAAATTAGATATTGAAAAGAAGTAAGCCTTGTTTAATTAATTAATTTCAAGAGTTTTTTTTTTTGAAATTAATCAATTTAAAAGTTTTAAATTATGACTATTTTCTTTTCTTTTTTAAACATCTCCCAAATTAAAAAAGAAAAAAGCTATTTTGTAAAAATATTTTTAAGATTTGTTTTAAAACACTTTTCTATCCATCTTTAATGATGTCTCTCAATTTTCTCAAATCTTTTACATAAGTTATAGTATATAAATTTACCTACAAAATTATTAAATTTTTAGTTTGAAATGTCTTTTCAAAGTAATTTAAAAAAGAAAACATGGAGGAAAGAAAATTTGTTTTCTATTTTTCTAAGCATATTCTGATTATCTTCTTTTGTTGAGAAAAAAAAAAAGTTTCTCGAACATCTTGTTTCAATTCTTTTTTTTTTTTCTTCTAAGATATGAGAAAAACAAACCTTTAATCTTGATTTATGATTTAGTTGAATAAATTTAGAAAGAAAACTAGTTGTTTCTGTCCGTAGAATTGCTTCTATCAATAATAAATATGAGGTACCACCAATATTAAGCCTGAGAAACATTGGTTCGCCATTATCACTACGTCCATCTGCTGGTACTGCCTTTAAATTATTAGCTAATAATTTACGCAGAAGTTATCTCTTAATTTCATATCTAAAAAATGAATAAAGTAAAAGAGAAAAAATAAATATTTTAAAGCAAAATTTTTTCTTTTTAATATAAAACGAATTTTTAAAATGTCTTTTGAATTGATATGTATATATATATATAATTGCATCATTAACAAATAGTAGTATTAGTCAATAAGAAAACATATCTTAAAAAGAAAAAAAAAATTTTTTTTAAAGCAAATTTGCGAGCAAACATGCAAAAAGGTATTTTCAATTAACTAATAAACATCAAATAAAGCTACGTAATTATAGATAAATTTGAATTGAAACCTGAAAACAGTCCGTTCCGCTTCCCCAAATTTCATCAAGACGGGTAGCATTGTTTCTTTCCGTATATGCGTCCGCATCGGTCTTGCGGTATGAAACAAGCCGTTTTTTGTGCTGCTGGGCCGCACTATAAAAATTTCTTATTTTTGTTTTTCCAATTTCATGCAATTTTTCCTTTTTTTTCTAAACAATGAGAATGGCTGCTTCGTGATATATTTCGGTTTTTCTCGCAGTTAATCAAATAAAAGAAATAAAAATATTAGTTTGATATAAATTTAAAAAAAAAATCTTTAGAATTAATTTTGATAAATAATTTGCAAAATTAATTTCATAAATTTAGCAATGTAAAGATTAAAATTTTCAGATTTATACTTACTGAGATAAATTTATACTTTATAGTGATTGAATTTTGCAAACTTGAAAAGTTAAATATTTGGAATGAATTTTAGCAGTTCATCAGATGCTT